CGACTACAATGATAACTAAAGCCATTGCTCAGCAACTAGGTAAGCATTATATTAACGCTTGTTGATCTTGGCTATTGCTAATTTTTAATGAAGTATATATACGTAGTTCCTTTATATTTGATATTACTCTGCAGTTAGCTGAAGGTGGTATTCATTAGATCAGCGATCTTATATTATGAATGAGTCAATCTTTATCATAAGAGAAAAATCAAGTCATAGTAATGTCGAAGTTGGTTATTTTCCGTCACTATCGAAGCTTCCTTCGTTTTGCTGATATCTATAGAACGACAATGCAATCTTCTTCTTTGTTCAATACTAGTACATATAATTCCTTTTAACGAAAATTGCTTCATCTTAATTCGAAAGAAAAAATTTAATTTCATACGCTATAAAGACTTCATGGTTTTCATAAAACAAGTGATTACACAACCAATCATCTTCTTTCTTCTATAAGCCATTAGTTGATCGAGAACATCTATTCTAAATCTGTTCTCATACTTCTCAGAATAAGGCATTTCCTCGCCTATCATTATTTTTTTTCTGTTCTATCTTGAATGTGTTTAAGATGATTTTCTTCATCTTCATCCATACCCTTCAGGCTCTCTGCTCGAAAGACATATCTTGTATCCCTGGAACTCTCTAGCTTTCTTTGATTTTCGAAAGCCTTTCGAATTCTCGATTTCATTTGAATCTTATCATACTTTGTACTTTTTGAATTTCTTCTAAATCCTCGATTCCTCTCTTCCTCTCTTCCTTTCTTCTTTCTGTGTTTCTTGGGAATTCTTGTGTTTTCTAGATTCCCACGAATTGTTAGTTTCTCTGGATTTACGTGATATCGTCAATTTTTTGAATTCTTTCGATTTCGCCCTTTTTTTGCTGAATCTTTCGAATTCATGGATTCTTTGCAGTTTTCAAACAACTTGAATCCCTTGAATTTCTGCAATAGTTTGAGCTGCTTAGATTTGTCGGAGTCCTCGGATTTATGAGATTTTTTAGGCTTCTTAGATCGCTTAAGTTCATTAATGTTTACCTCTTCCTTTAATTCCTTCAATTGCCGAGAATTCGTAGAGTTTTCTTTGTAAAAAAAACCTATTTGAGTTTATCTCTTAATATGATACAATACATTGGAGATGCGTCATCGAACAGCTACTGTAAGAAAAACCTGTCGAATTGTGAGAAACACGCGTAGCTTAATGATGGTGCACTCGTAGATTGATCTCTCCGACTTTAAATTATGCAACATTTGCACATCAGCTCTCCAGTAATGAGTAAAACATTTTCGGTTCTACCGGTTGTGGTTCCTTTATTTTAGAAATTACCAGATTCTACCGATCGCTTCTTTTATATGAACACACAAGATGTGAAAACTTATTTATAGACTATTCTGATTTCTTAGCAGAATGACAAGTCGATTTTTAGAAATGATAAAAAATACGATATTCATAAGGATGTGCGACTATTTTCTTTTATATATATACGAGTTGATGCCTGTTTCTATTATCTGTTTGTTTAACCCTTTGACGGGCGACTTTTGGATGGACGACTTATGTCGATCTTAATAGCTCAATTAGCTCGATCTTGATCTGCATTATGACGCGCGAGGATCTGGTCAACAATATCGGGTTATTTCACGTGTAATGAGTCCACTTATTGCGATCGTGATAAGCATTTTTATGTAAAATTCCAGTAAAGTTAGAAAAATCAATCAATTCTTTTCTTTGATAAGTTCGATTTTATTCTATGAGCAAAACGCATGTCTAATGTGACAAACCTCTATTTAGTAAAAACAATGCCGCTTTAGCAGAAAAACAAGAACACATCCTATATTGAGAAATAAGCAGAATTCGAAAAACATCAAAGGAAGGCTTTTATGAGTCAACAGAAAACAAATCTGGTCAGAACAATCATGAATATCGCGAGAAATTCATTGTTGTTAGCCATGAATATGCAACGCTAATTAGTATGGAATAAGAAGAAGCAGTTTCTTTGATGTGAAACACATAAAGCCAGTTTGCAAGTTGAACATTCTATTGCAGATCTTTGTGGGTTATTTTTAGTGCTGCAATACGCACATCTTCTCCGAGATGTGGCTATAGGAAGGTGAGCATCAACATTAGAAAATCGAATTTCGTTAGAAACAGATATTTTTCTTTCATCTTTTTTGCTTTTTTTGACACAGAAGTTGCTTACTGATCTTCCACTTTTCCTTTTTACTGAAGTGTTACGACCGATTAGTTCTTTAGCAATATTGGCTAGAAATTGTAAATATCTCATATCGTCATTTGGATGGTCTCTGCAATAGAGCACAAAAGCATTCGATAATGCCACGTTGAGAAAATGAAAGAATATCCGGAGCCAACTCCTCCTTGACTTTCTGTCAACAGCATAGTATTGAATTCTTTGATCAACTCGATCCACTCCCACCTTCCCCAAATTGTAATCTTGAATCATTACTGGACAATGCAATTAAATTACTTTTCCGTTTTTCAATTTACGATTGATATTTGTCATAGTTCGTGGGTCAGCAAAATTAGACACCATGAGAACTGGTTTTCGATCCATCAATTTGACAATTGAAATAGAATCTATAGCCAAATATTTCGCGTCACTACGATTCATTTTTATATTACGAATAATATCAGCTGGAATACCTTTTCTGGTGTTTTTGAGAGTACCGGTACAGTAGATGCCATCCTTCAGAAGTTTTTCAGCAAGGAACGGTGATGTGAAAAAATTATCGAAATAAACATGGTGCAATTTCATTGAAAGTTCTCGTGTCAATGACCGAACAACATGTTCACCTAAAGGAGCTCGTCTTTCCTCCGATTTATCGGAATAAATCTCAAAATTATACACGTAATCAGTCAATGTATCGGCTAATATCCAAACTTTGTAGCCATGCTTGACTGGTTTTTGTTTTATATATTGTTTCAAGGAGGATCTTCCTTTGAACTTAATCATAATTTCATCAATTGTCAATTTTTCGCCCAAATCAAACTGTGTCTAGAAATTGTGTTTCAATAGTTCAAGAAAATTTGATACTTTGTACAGTTTATTGGACGCATATTTTTTCTGTTTCTCTGCATGTGAGTTGTCGACTAAATGTATATTTCCCAAGATTCTTTTAAAATTCTTACACGGCATTGCTATAGAAATCCTCTCATTACGAAAAGACTCATCCGTGGACCATTAGGAATCAATTGAAGGATTTCTACAATATCCCATGATGATGTTGATACCAATAATTTTTTTTAATTGAGATTTTGTAATATCAACCCAACGACTAACATCACCTGCTCTCGCATATTTCTGTCTTCCATAGATATTCTTATTTATAACACTTTTCCCACGATAGAGAGAGAGAAGAGGATCTCTTCAACAACGACGATTCGTTTTCTTTTTCGTTCATTATAGTAATTCCCAATATTCCAGCCGATACCCGATGGAAGCAGAATGGGGTGACCGTTGCTGGAGGCCATGGAAACGGCAGTGCCACCAATCAACTCTGGTTCCCTAATGGTCTCTTCGTTGATGATGATCAAACGATGGTCATCGGTGAGTGGAAGAATCATCGTATCATCCAATGGAAGATGGGTGGTACGAATGGACAAGTGGTAGCTGGTGGTCATGGTCAAGGAAATCGATCGGATCAATTGGCGTATCCAACCGATGTATTGATCGACAAAGAGAGTGATAGTCTCATTATTTGTGATCTAGGGAATCAACGCGTCGTACAATGGTCTCGTCGAAGTGGCACAACTCAAGGAAAAATCCTCATCGACAACATCGATTGTTACGGATTGGCCATGGATGATCAGAGATATCTCTACGTATCTGACTACACGAAACATGAAGTAAGACGATATCAAATAGGAGACAAGAATGGAACTCTCATGGCCGGTGGCCATCGCAATGGTACTGGTCTCAATCAACTCTACGCTCCAGGCTACATCTTTGTCGATCGACAACAGAGTGTCTACGTGTCAGACTACCGCAATCATCGTGTGATGAAATGGAATAAAGGTGCAAAAAAAGGAATTGTCGTTGCTGGAGGTCAAGGCGAAGGGAGTGCTATGACACAATTGTCGCTTCCTCAAGGTCTGTTCGTCGATACCTTGGGTACCATCTATGTGGCAGACAAGGCGAATAATCGAGTGATGCGTTGGCCTAAAGAAGCGAAACAGGGCACTGTCATTGCGGGTGGAAATGGTCAAGGAGCAGGAGCAAATCAGTTCAGCGATCTCGAAGGTTTGTCTTTCGATCGACATGGCAATCTCTATGTTGCCGATGTGCGGAATAATCGTATTCAACGTTTTTCAATCGAATAAACTCAAAACGATGGATTAGTTTTTTTCTTTTCCTTCAAATAAACCACGTTGAATTGATGGAAAGAATGGTTATTCTATTCGTGCGAGACCAGAAACCATCCTGGTGGAGCCGTGGCGAGCGAGGGTAAGTTTATATACGTAAGTAGATACTAAGCGATCATACGATGCATTTCGACAGTTGCTTAGGCTGTCATCATCAGGCATGTTCGGGGTGTGGGGTGAGGGTGAGTTTTATTTTGAACCCTCCGAGAAGGGTTTGAGTGTCTGTCATCATCGATCAACCCACAAGGAGCTGTACAGCAGATCTAAGAGGAATTCGATTGCCAGTGCATCATCCATCTCGTGAATGACGATACATTATCCAAAGCTAAGGGTGATGGTGAGATGAGCTGCCATAACCGGTTTCGAAGTGACTCAATTTATGTTGCTGAAAGCAGGGTGTGAGTGTGGGTGTGGGTGTGGGTGTGGGTGTGGGTGGGTGTGGTGTGGGTGTGGCTGTGGCTGTGGGTGGTGTGGGTGTGGGTGTGGGTGGTGTGGGTGTGGGTGTGGGTGTGGGTGTGGGTGTGGGTGCGGGTGTGGGTGATGTGGGTGTGGGTGGGAGTGTGGGTTTAGTTGTTGACTTCACCCAAACCCACTCCACACCCACCCCGCATCTACACCCACCCACACCCACATTCACCGACACCCACACCCATAGCCACACCCCACCCACACCCACACCCACCCACACCGACACCCCACACCCCACCCACACTCACACCCACACCCACACCCACACCCACACC